GGTTGCTGGGTGGTTGGGGGAGTAGGGATGGGTGGTTGAGTTATGGGTATCGGGGAAGGTATGGGCTATGGTGAGTGCTGTGAAATGTGTAAGCCTGATAATTCACAGACCTGTACCCCTGGAGCAAATAATACATTATATGTTAATAAACACAATTTTTGAAAAAGATTTTATAAAGTTGAAAAAATAATAATGATAAAGGTGCCAAGTCATCAAGAGGATCCCGTGAGAACTTCAAGAATAGGCAAAGCCACCATTAAAATCAATGATTTCAATATCCATGTCTCAAAAGTTAATAGAACGTGAAAACCAAAAATGAGTAAGAAGATAGAAGACTTGAACAACACTACCGATCACCTTTACCTCCAAATGAAATTCATAGATCATTCCACCCAACAACAGATACTCATGAAATGTGTCCAAGATAGACCATATTCTGTGCCATAAACAAATTTTAATAAGTAGAAAAGGATTAAAATCTTCTAGAGTTATGTCCTCTGAATACAATGGAATTAGAAATCAGTTAACAGAAATATCAGATTGTGCCAATCAAGCCCTTGATCTTACTTCATGGTTCCTAAAACTAAATAATAACCTTTAAAAATATTTTTCTACCCTACAGTGACTATGCAGAGTTAACACGTTAAAATGTTTTTTTCCAAGCATTGATGGGAATCGCATGTGTGAACCTTAATAAAGAAACCGTCAAAATGGACAAAACCCACATTTAGCTAAGCATACAGTGAAGACAGCAGGCCTAATTTTAAAACAATACAAATCAAATTTCTCCAACAAAAAAGGCTGATGATCACACAAACCACGAACAGAGAAGGGGAGGAGGGAACATGCATACTGAGTGAGGGTCCCTCTGGAACAAATACAGACTATATGGAGATGTATATCCCTCCAAAACCTGCATACAGGTTAATAGCAGCCTTATTCATAATTGCCAATTAATTCCAATTCATAATTAGAACAAACAACCAAGATGTCCTTCATCCTGTGAATGGACAAATAAACCATGGTACTTCCAGACAATGGATATTCCTTTAGAAAATGAGTCTTTTTTTTTTTTTTTTTAAATTACACCTGTCCTGGGAAAAGCTCCTGCCTCCAGCACTCCTTTCCTCTCTTCGTGTGGTGGTCACCCCACTGACAGGCAGAGCTGGATTAAAGGTTATCTGATGAGAGCAAAGGGACCACATATCCCTGGGAAAATCCACAGATATTCATTCATTTATTGCAAAAATGAAGGATACACTTAGTGAGCAAGTAAGCATTCTACGTGCTCAGAACCCGGAGGTTTTGCTGCTCTATCATACTTTCCATGTGTGGTTCCGTTATAGACAAAGACTTTCCATTGTGACTTATAGTGGAAGTTAAAGGTGCCATCTAAGTCCCAAGTGGAATATTTTTGCTTTCTTGTGTGATCTCCCTGATCTCTAGGTGATGGAAGCTATGACCTTTTACTGTGCTCTACCTGCCTATAATTGCTGTCTTGTCACAGAAGGGCAGCATGCTAATACATCCATCTACTTTTTCAATAGGTGGCGCCCTCCAGGCTCCATCCTCACTATCTTTCCATTGCCAGCCTGCCTGCAAACTCTTACCCAATTAATTTCTCTGGCAAATGAAATAGCTGAAAGCCATGTCTTTTTGAAGTTTGGGGGTAACCTTAGGGTGTCTGTAAGAGAAAGATAAAAAGCTGACCCCTTTTCTTTTGTGTCAAAATTTAGTGTATACTCTAATCTTGCCCTTATTTTTTAATATATGAATTTAGTATGAAGACTGGATTCAGTTCATAACATTGCAAATATTTTCAGAACACTAAAACTGCTAAAATTTGTCTCCTTCTTAAAGCTGTTTCATTTGAATTTACACCAACCGTGTCTCTGAGGGGCATGGTGGTGTAATGGCTGATAGTGCTAGAATTAGAATTCCCAGGGTGAAAATCCCATCTTTCCCAAACTAAGAATTTTGAAATTTGGGGCAAATTGTTCAAGTGACAATTTTTCTCATCTATAAAATAGGGCTGATGATTAAATGGATTAACATGAATAAATGGATTAATATGAATAAAGCACTGAGCACAGTACCTGGCATATAATAAGATAATAAATGTTATTATAAATAACATTAATAATAACAATAAACGTTAGCTATCATTCGTTAGCTATCAAATGTTAGCTATCATCAGCAAATATTTAATATTGGTTTTATATGTACATTTACATCCTGTCCTTTGCACCCAACTTCAAGATCCTCAAGGGAGGGGATCATATCTCTTCCATCAGACTGGCTTACTCCCAGACTGTCTTCTCTATTCTCAAGGATACCTTGCCCAGGATTCTGCAATCGACATGAAGAGCTGGGAACATGTCCTTTCGTTCCAACTAATACCTGTCAAAATTCCTCTACCTCCTGACTTAGATTCCTAGCCCTAAAGTCCTACAGCTCCCACTTTCCACAATTAAAGATTCACTATCTGTCCCAGAATCTGATTTCATTATATTTAAAACTCCGATATGATTCTTGGGATAGTTTTCTTTATTCCGTTGAGGGGGAGGAAGAGAGGGGAGAAACCATTGAATCACAGTCAGTGACAGTACCAGGAGCCCAGAGCATGTCTGTTTCCTGCCTGGCTCCTATATGTATCTAGGTTGTGCATTTACTAATTCTGCCCTTTTACTGATGAGTAATTACAGCTCAGGGTGGTCAAATTAGGCCCAAGTTTGCCTAACTGAAAGTGAGGAAGCTAGGACTGGAGCTCTGGTCTATTTCATTCCAAAGTCCACGCTCTTCATGCTCCATCAACCTTCCCAGAGGAGATTTATATATTTTTAAAAAATATTTTATTTATTTATTATTTATTTATTTGTCAGAGAGAGAGAGAGAGAGAGAGCGAGCGCACAAGCAGCAGGCAGAGGGAGAAGCAGGCTCCCCGCTAAACAAGGAACCCGATGTGGTGTTCCTGGGACTCCATCCCAGGGCCCTGGGATCATGACCTGAGCCAAGGCAGATGCTTAACAGACTGAGCCCCCCAGGCGTCCCTACAGAAGAGGTTTATACAGACTACGAATATCATTCAGAGCAGAGGCTCATGGAGAGAGGTATCGTAAGAAGTCCCGCGATTAGGAGTCTGGTAGCTAGAGCCCTTGCCGAGGGTCCAGCTGCCCGCATACCACTTCAGGTCCCTTCTCTGGACCTCAAATAGCTCATACGTAAAATGAGGAGGACCTGGCCTCCTTTGCAAGGTTATTTAGAAGATCCGAAGAGATGTTTGGGAACCCCTTGGTCCTCGACCTCTCTAAGGGATTGCTAGCCCAGCAGCAAGGAAGAGGGCTGGCAAATTTGAGCTACTGCTAAAGGAAGATCAAGAAGGCCTAATTGGAACCAGGCCTGAGAACTTGTACTATTGGGGTCAAAGCACGAAGAAGGGTTGGCTGAGCTTGGTCGTCCCAGGTTGAAGGGTAAGATGTGCACGGTTCGAAGGCTCTAGAGGAAAACCTGAAATGCTTTTTATTTCTAAGTACTTGGGATTCTAGCGCGGGTTGGTTGGATTTCTCACTGCTCTGCGTTCTACCCAGCGCCTTCCTGTGCCTCCGCCCTTCCCCCCGGCCTGCGCCCCTAGCCCGAACCGCCCGCGGGCCCCGCCCCAGGCCCCTCCCGTCCCCCGTCCCGGGCCCGCCCTCCTCCTTCCCCCTGCCGGGCTCGGCGCGCAGGGCTCTGGGGCTGAGAGCCTCGCGCTCGCCTCGCCGCCGGCCGCTGCCCAGGATAGCCGCGCGCCTGCTGACCGGCGCCCGCGGACTCCCCGCGCGGAGCCACACGTGAGTCCCGGCAGGTCGCCGCCCCGGCGGTGGCAGCGGCGACCAGCCCCGCGGCTGTAGGGCTGGAGTGAGGGGGCCGAGGAGCGCCTGTCGGCTCGTCCGGTTTGCTTTGAAACCGAAAGCGCCGCAGCGGCACGAGCCCCGCAGCCTTCTCCCCGCGCCCGACGCGTGGCTGCTGGGGTCCCGGGCCCGGACACCCGCCCCTCCCGCCCCGCTCGCGTTCAGCGAGTCCCGCGACCCGCGCTCAGACTCGCGCGGGGAGGGCGCGGGCGGTGGGCGCGAGGCGGACGGGCGGGAGCAGCCCGCGGGGCAAGTGGCCGCCGCCGCGGGCGAGGGGGTGCGGAGGCGGGTGTGGGAGACAGCTGGGCTCGGCGGCTCGGAGCGGGTTTTCTTAGCAGGGGAAGGCTGTGGTGTGGACGCAACTGGGGGCCCCGAGCTGGGGAGCTGCTCCAGAGCGCGGCTGTGGATTGGAGGGACCGGGTTCAGGTAGGGGGACGCAGGGCGGGTTTCAGGTGAGCCCGGTGCGCACGCTCTGCAAATCCCGGGCGCTCCCTGCGTGCCCTTGGGCACCCCTCCACCTCTGCAGGGGTGCAGCGACCCGAGCCCCCCGGAATGGAACCGGAATATGGGAATGAATGGAAACCTCCGCAAACTGTTCGGTTGGGCGTGCTCAGTTCGAAACACAGCACAGCACGAGACGAACCCGACACTGCACACGCAGACCCTCAGCTGAGCTCCGAGGGGCCTTGGAGGAAGCCAAGGTTCGGGGAGGTGAAGTGCGTTGCCCGGGGACACCCAGAGAATTGGAGGAATCTGGGTTTTCCAGACCAGATTGCCTCCCCCTTGGTCCTGCCCTGCAGGGTTTTGGCAGTTGTGAGACTTTTCAGTGAATCCTGGGGCCACAGTCTTGTGGTTCACCCTGCTGCTGCGCTCTGCCGCTGCCTACTTTCTCGGCGGGTTCTGCCCCCTCCTGCAGAGTTTCCATATTTGGCTATTTCAGATTTACTTTCTCCTAACTCTAGTTATCTGGCTGTGGCTGCAGGGCGGCTCCGGGCGAGCGCTGATGTAGGTGGAGGGAGGCGTGGCTGCCCGCCCAGGCGGTCCCTGCAGCCCCACCCTTTTCAGCCCCGGGCTCTGACCCGTCTTCTGTGAGGACAGGGATCTAGTAACCAATTTAATTCAGTAAATATTTATTGGGCACAGGTGCTGTGCGGCTGGGGCCCGTGGAATACGGTTTCTTCCTCCAGGGGCGTTTGCATTTGAAAAGGGCTCTGGAAGACAAAATGCAAACACAGTGAAGAGTAGAACAAGCTGGTCGGTGCCTGTGAGGGAGTTTTAGGCCGGGAAAGGCCAGGTCGGACCTCCCAGATCCGGAGTGCTGCGGGCCGCTGTGCCCTTCTCACTTGGAGGGTGGGAGGGTGTTAGCGCTGTGGCTGGTTCGGGTGAAAACCACACCTGAACTCTCCTCCCCCAGTTCTCCAGTTTGCACAGGACAGACATTGCCCAGGGAAAGATGGATGTGAGATGCAAGCAGAAAGTAGCCAGCCCCTGTAGACTCTTGGTTTTGTTGTTGTTTTGTTTTAAACTCTGCGGAATGGGTTGGCCCTCATCCTGGAACCTCCCTCCCCTGGTCCTAGACAGAAGCAGAAGAAAGTCTCCTATCTGAGCCAGCCTCTGGATGTCCTGCTGGAGGGGTGGTGATGGAGGAGGTGATTTTCACAAGTCCTCTGCGCTGAGGGCTGAGGCAAGGGGAGTAGGATGGACAGTGTGTCCATCTGTCAGCAAGCCATCCCCTGAGTCCCCATTGGCCATGGGTGGCAGGGCAGTGGGAAGAAGAGGGAAAGGAGAGGAGGCCCCATCCACTGAAAGTACCAAGTGCAGTAAGTGGGCTATTTCAGTGGGGGTGGGGGGAGTGATGTGCAGAGCGAGGGAGCTGGGTGCCTCTGAGTCAGTCCAGTCAGGCTAGCTGTGGGAAAGGCTCGTTGGCGTTTAGACAAGCAGACCTTCCGTGATTATCTCAGCTTCACTGCGGAGGACCCTGAAGAAAAGTTAAGTCCCTGTTTATGAAACTCTTTGCTTTTTTTAAAGCATTTTCTCATCGCTCTTCTCATTTGTCCTCCATGGTATCCTAGTGAGTCAGGCCAAAGCAGGATTATTGTCTACATCTCCCAGATGGTGAGGATAAAGCAGGGTGTGTAGTAGCCCTTGAGGCTCCCGTGCTGGGCCTGGTGTCTGGCTCCAGGCCCCCACCCCGTTTTCTCAGAGAGTGAAAACTGCCTGCCTCCTCCTCGGCAAGACTTTGATGATGCACGTCTGGTCTATTCCCACCGACGTGGAGCAGGTTCTGGAGACTCTGCCCTGGCCAACGTGTGAACAGAGGCCCGCTCTGCCCACCTGAGTGAACTGGGGCAAGACCTGTGTCTCTTCTTGTTTGTATTCTGGAGTCTGGCGTATAAGAGACCTAAACAGATGTCTGCGTCCAATGCATCTGAGATGTGTCTCCCTTGGGCTCGGAGCTGGTAGGGGCTGATGGCTGGGGAGCAGGTGCTGGGTGGGGCCCTAGAGAGGATGAGCTGCGCGCGGCGCTCGCTTAGATCCCAGAAATCCGAAGAGCCCTGGGCCATTTGAAAATAGCCTCTCTTACCTGGTTAACCTCTCCCTGCTTCCCTGAGAGAAGGGAGAGGCTGGGGCTTTTCCTTCCACTTAGCTGGCTGCAAGCTGGGGCTCAGAAGGGACTGGAACGATCTCACAGAATGTAGGCACCAGCCAGGACCCAGCCCAAGTCCTTGGACTCTAAGTCCTGTGCTCTTCGGTTATTTCAGCTAGGGGAAGTCAGGATTCTGGATGGGAGGAGCGGGAGGGAACCTGAAAGGCATTCATCAAAGGCGACCTGATGCCTTCGTCCCTGTACCACGGTCTTTAAGATCTAATAGACCAAGGGAAGGGGAAGCAGTGGCAGACACTGTCTCTTAAGAGCTTTTTCTGCCCAGATGGTGGCTTTTACTGAGGGCTCCCGGGGCAGGAGTCATCTCTGCAGCCAAGCTGTGTGGGTGTCTGCGTGTGTGTGTGTGTGTGTGTGTGTGTGTTGGGGAGAGAACATGTCCCAGGGGCAGAAGTGATCCCCAGGGTGGGAGGCTTCCTGCCCTGGCTGAGGCCAGGTTAGGTCCCACGGAGTGTGTTGCTTTGCCCCGAGGAAAGCTTTATTTGGAGGGTCAGACAGCCCCGGGCCCCCGGCAGGCCCTGTCTTGTGAGGAAGTGGACTCGAGGACCAGAGAGGAAATAAAAGTGAAAATACTCATTAGTCCCGACAGAGCAATTCAAAATCCATTTGCAGGGACAGCGATGAGTCTGCCCGTTGTTATCAGGAGGCAGGTGGGGGTGCGTGCCAGGATAGGGCAGTAGCAAGAGGGGGGCGGGCCATCGGTGTGTACCTGCAGGGTCTGTGGGGGGCCCTCCCTGCTCACACCCCTCCCAGGGGGTGTGAGCAGGGAAGGGGGACCCGTCTCACTTTCAGCAGTTCCCCACGCCTCATGGCTGGACCCGCGCTCCACAGCTTCTCTGCTCACCAGTTCAGAACATCCCTGGGACTTCCCCCATGGCCTGTTTTCTCTCAGGGAAAAGGTACTCTCCTGACCCACGGGAGAACACCTTCTCCACCTACACTGCCGATTCTCCCTCTGCCAGGTTCCCTGACCACTCGCTCCTTCCTCTGCCCCACTAGCTTAGCCTCTGTTAAACAGGAAAACCCTGTGTTTCTACACCCCCTATTCTTTCCCTTTCACGGAGAAGCTTCTGGAAAGGGCGGCCAGCCTTTGCACTTAGTCTGTATTCCTCCCTCAGCGCCGTGCACCTGCCCTGCTGCTCAGATTGCCCGAGGGGTTCTGAAGCTGGTAATCCTCAGTTGCCAGCCTGCTCTGCAGCTGTTGCCCATCTCCTCGGAGGGGCCCCCCGTCCCCACGGATGCCTCCGTCCTTCACCCTGAGCTTCTCATCTTCCTTCGGCCCTGCAGATGCTGGTATGAGGCCCCGGCTGTGCCCTCCGGCCGACCTCTATCCCCTGTGCTCCTCTCCCTAGAGCCCTCCTGGCCTCCCAGGGCTTAAACCAACACCCTTAAAGAAAGCTTTCTGTCTCTCCCCCAGCGGTTTTCCTGGCGGTTTGATTTGTGACATACAAAATCTTCACCATGATGTTTCGGGAGCCCCTCTTCCACCTGCTGCGTAGTGGAAATAGTGTGGACTTTCAAAAGCTGGGAGCTCTGAGTTCAAATCTGCATTTACGGCTTGCTGGTTGTAGTTGTGTGATCTGGGCAAGTTGGCCAACTTCCAGGAGCCTCTGTGTTTCCACAGAGAGACTATAGTGTCACTCACTTGAGGTCGGTGAAAGGATTAAATGAGCCGGTATGTACACAGAGCCTGGTGTCTGGTTGGGTACTCAGTAAAGCTGGTTTTCTTCTTCCATGTGTGGGATAGCAGTAGGGAGTTGTGGGGTCTCTGGGGAGGTGCACAATGTGTGTCTAGCCTAAAGGCATTTCAATTTAAATTAAAAACAGACAAACAAAAGAACTGCCAAGTGCCAGGGCAGACCATCATTTAAACTAGCCTGGTGCTGTCACTTTGCAAGCTCTACACCCGGCAGACCTCAGTCTCTGGGGGCACGTGAGGCAGGGCACAGTGGGGAGAAGCTGGGACAAGCCCTTGGCAGGCCGAGAGCAGAGAGGAGGGCAGGTAGCAGGAGATAATGGAGACCCGGCCCCAGGTTTCAGGGGCAGGATTCCAGTCTTTAGACTAATCTGTGGACAGAGCAGCTGCCACCTCGGAGGGAGATAGTGCTGGATAGGGAGGTGAATCAGGGACCCAGCAGACGACATAGAATGGATTTGGAAAGCAAAAATAGAGCCACTGCCTTGATTACCAGGAGTAGAGCTCTTCCTTCAGTGGGGTCTAGCTATTCAATCAGAGCGGAGTGTGGAGTGAAGTTGACGGGCTGCTGGCTGTCAGTTTGAGCCCGTCCCGACCCCCCCAACTGGGAGGGGGTTGGAACAGTCAATCTGTGTGCTGAGCCTTCCTTTAGAGGAACCCTTGATGCCAAGATAAAGCCAAACACTCATGAAAGTGCCGCTTCTGCCTTCCTGACATGAACATTCTGAGGAAGAGGCCAGACAGACACCTGTGATGCGCCCTAGGAGAACTCACCATGCTTCCCTGGGTTCCAGGCAAATAAGTTAACAAAGAGGGAAGGCTTCAGTGTTACGGAAAGTCGCAGATTAATCGAAGAAGTGATTCAACAACTGGGTGGGGTTATGCCAGGAAGCCCTCCGAAGGCGTGAGGAGAAGTGGGCAGGAAGGACGGGAGGGGGTATTGGACTGTGGGCAAAGGCATTTCAAATGGGAATAAGGGAAGGAGGGAACAGTTGCCCTTCGTGGATGGGAAATAGATTATTCTGGAGCAGATTGACTTCCTCCTATTGAGGTTTTATTTGAAAAGCCGATCATTTGGGATGTTGCTTCAGCGGCTCAGTGGCACTTCTGGAGATCTTATTGAGAATGTCTGACCCCGTGGATATTAGCTGTGGACAGCCAGACGCTAAATTCTTTCGATCCTTCCTTGACAGTAATTCCAGATATGTGACTTCAAGCGTTCACTTCCCTGATGCCGGATCCTTCCAACAAGCATGACTTCTCTAGGGCCCGTGTCTCCTGCCGCGCAGCCGAAATGCTTGGTCCTCTCAATGGCAGTTCTGCTTGGCTTTGTTAAAGGGCTATAGAGTCTTTTTGATCTGATGTATCTGTTCCTCTCTTCGCATCCTTTCTTCTGCCTAGAGTACCTCCTGTTTTAATCTACTAATTCATACCCTTTACCCTTTTCAAAGAAAACTCAAATACATCTCTTGTTGGGAATGCTTCCCCAAGACCACACCCAGGTTCTGCGATATTCTCTGAGGACTCACAGGAGTCAGCATATGGTCATACAGCTACGATTCGTTACAGTGGAAGGATGTAAAGCAAAATTGGCAAAGGAAAAAGGCGCATGGGGAGAAGTCCGGAGGAAGCCGGGCACAAGCTCCAAGAGTCCCTCCCACCAGCGACATCATACAGGATCCCGTAGACTTGTGACCGTGCATCAGATGTTGTCTACCAGAGAGGCTCATTAGATGCCCAGTGCCCAGGGTTTTTACTGAGGTCTGGTCATGTAGGCATCCCCTGCCTAACTTGTACCAAAATTCCAGACTTCCAGAAGAAAAACAGGTGGTCAGCAACAACCACATTGTTTGCAAAAACAGTTTGGGTGCAGTGCACCACCCGAATCAGTTAGGAGAACCTGCCACAAATCTGCCTTCCAAGATGGTAACCAGGGGCCATCCTTAGAAGCAGAACTTTCTACGGACGGCAGTCTCAAGCCTGCTATGTTACCTCTTTTCTGCACGGCTTCCCTGCATGATTCCACGCATCCATGCCTAGCAGTGGAGAAAATCACTCTAGATACAAGCCAAGAGACTTAGGACTGGCCCAGCATGGCCACCTACCACTGGTGACCCTTTGAATCCCTGGACTCCATTTTTTCTCCTCATTCGGGAGAGGGGAATTGTAATTCTTCTTTGTAGGCCTCAAAGGTGACTGTGAGGACCAAAGAGATGACATAATGGGTACTCCTCTTGTCCCTCTTGGTTGAGCTCCTACCGTGTGTCAGCCTCTGAGTGGGCCTGTGGGAGCACAGAGAGAAGCGTGGTATTGTGGCTTTGAGAGGAGACCAGCCCGAGATTAAGCCAGCACTTACCACCCGTGTTACCTTGCACCCGTTTCTATAATCCTAATTGGTAGAATAATAATGAATAAATAATAAATAATAAGTGAATAAATAGTGAATAATAAGACTATTGCCCACACCTCACTGGGTTGCTGTGCAAAGTGGGAACAACCCACGTAAGCTTCTCACACATTGTAGGCACCCAAAGGGGCAGCTCTCCATTCACCCCGATATCTGAGTGCTTGCTGTGGGCCAGCGCCTTGAGAAACACCCGACCCCAGCCCTGCCTCCCGTTTGCTGGTGCGGATTAGTATTGAAGGAAGAGGAGGGGACCTAACCTGGCTGAGGAGGCAAGTGAAGGCATCCCTGAGTCTGAGATGCTTAAGCTGGGCCTCAGGGGGAGTTCGCTGTGTGAGAGGGAGGCCAGGGGAGGACAGACTGTTTCCAGCGGAGACCGCAGCTTGAGCAGAGGGAGGGCAGCCTGCAGGGTGAAGGCTGTGGGGGGGGGGGGCAGGTTTGCCACTTGTATGAAGAATGGCAAGGAGGAGGCCAGGGAGGGTGGAGAAGGAGGGGTGGGGCAGGAAGGGGCTCTCAGGTGACACTGGGGGTGTGGGCAGGACCGCTGCCGCATGTGTCAGGGCTTGGGGACATGCAGAGGATTGGGAGGCGGTGAAAAGATTGTGCAAGTGACACACTTGGTGTTCTCAGAAGCTCAGTTAGGCTCGGTGTGAAAAATGCTCTGGAGGAGCGAGCGGGTGAGGCCGACCAGTTGTAGGAGGCTGTGTGGTGGGCCCAGTCAGTGGGGGCGCCGGCTTGAATCAGGGTGTTGGTCGCGCGGGGTGGGGTGGAGAGAAGGAGGTGGCATGTACCCATGTACCCGTCAGGTACACTCAGGGGGCGTCCGTGATTGACAGGATGGGGGCGGGGCGGGGAGGGGGAAGGCATTGACCGGATGATGCCAGTTGTCTGGTGACAGCAGGAAGATGGAGAGGGGGTCTTCACAACGAGGGAGCTCTGGAGAGAGAGCAAGTCAGGGGAGGGAATGTGTTGGTTTCGGAGCGCCTG